CCTCTTAATATCACAAAAGGGAAAACCTGAAACATTAGGGTTTGGTTGAGAAACAACCAAAATACAACCCACAAATGAACCACAAATTCCAAAGCAAAGGAAATGGGGTAGGGAGCATTTCACTGGATTTATCACAGGTGATTGTTTTCCCTTTTGGAAATTTAGTGCTGTCTTAATTATTTTACAGTTCTAAAGATGTACAGGACGCTGTACAAGAGGTGAGCTGTGCTAAACAAATAATGGGGCTCTATCCTGAAGAGTTTACAATCTAAAAGCACGAATTCAACAGCAGGAAGGGGTATGGCAACTGTAGCTGGATTGATTTACGGAATAGGTATGTTTCAGAAGGAGTTTTTTAAAGGAGGAAAGGAACTTGGTAAATATTCAAAGGAAGGTTGCCTCAGGCACCGAGGGTAGTGTGAATGAAAAACAGTTGAGGAGAGGCGGGAGGTGAGGGGGAAGGTGATGTGGGAGGGCAGAGATTTATTCAGAGACAAAGTTATGGAGAGCTTTGGAAGTGAGAAAAAATAAACTATGCAGAAAAAAAGAAGGAAGCCATTGGAATTCAAGAGGCAAAGACACAAGGTCAGATTGGCAGGGTAAGAAGATCGATCTTGGCAACTGAGGTTTTGAATGAAGTGGAAAGGAAAAGAGGTGAGGGGGGACGGAGAGGCTAGAGGCAGAGGTTACAGTAGTCAAGATGGGAAATTACCAGCGCACGGACTAACGTCTTGGCAGAAGGGATGGAGAGAAATGAAAATCTTCTGCTTCATATCTACTAAGTGGACATCTAAATAGGTATTTCACTCTCCTGCACCTAAGCTCGTGTTCCTCTGTGGAAGGAAAGACTAGTTCAGCAGGACAGCTAGTAGGTTAAAGAAAATGGGCAACACAGAGAATAGCTTTGAAACTCTCATATTCCTGGAAAACATTTACCCCACAGAACGGATGCCCAACTGGACAGTGGCAAGATACTAACTCTTATAAATACAGAAGAAACCTGCTGGTCATTTGAAGACACATAGAAAGGAATTCAAGTGAATTGCTGTGATAAGTAACAGTTCCAATAAGAAACAGAGAGAACATTCTATCACACAAAACATGCTAATCTGCAGGGATAACATTCTATTGGGTTAAACATGCTAATCTACAAAGTTCTTAAAGTTAATCAGATATTTTGTATATATCAAGAAACTTGGTTAATTATCCTTCATCTGTGTTTTCTTTTCCTCGTGCTGGAATAGTGGTGCTATGCCCAGCGGCAACAGTAATCCTTAGCGGGGCACTGGGGAAAATATGGTCTGATGAAGTTGTGAGGTTAGTCACAGCTGACCCACCCAACTTTTCTCCTTTGACATTTGATCCTGGTCTTAGGAAGGGTCCCACAGTGGGGATAACATTCCCAACTCCCTATGATCAAAACCCACCCCTCTGAACCAAAATCAGTTACTTACTGCAGTGCCATCCTGGAGCAGGCTAGCCCACAGTCCCAGTGGTACAACTGCTGAATAACTGGCACTTGCAACTGGACATAGTCAGCTGTAGTAAAGACAATGCATCATTAGAAGAGCATGATATGTGAGTTAGCCCAAATATGTGTATACTTCCACACATTAGTATTAGCAGTCCTCTTGCTATCACAGTTAGTGTTGTACTGGGTTACTTGAGAAACACTTTTGATTTTGTCCCATTAGCAGGTTATGCTTCTCAACATAATTTTTTTTTTAAAGGTCTTTTTCCAAATTGTAAAAGTAAGTGAACCATCAACCGTCTGTTTTAGCCTGACACTCCCTCTTTGCTATAGGTATGGCCAATTCTGCAGCAAATTCATCCTCCTCTTCCTCCCTAACTTTTTTCGGGTCAGATCTACCTATTCCTGGTCATGGCCTCTGTATGATCATGAAGAGGTAATCACACCCTAAGAGAGATACCAGGAGAACAACAGACTTTCATCTTTTATTGTGGTGTGTCCAAAACTGAGTCTCTGGGTTTAAACAGATTTTGTGACTGTTGCAACCTTTGGTGCAGTCTGACCATCAAAGATGTGCCAATACTCGAGTGTTCATCCAGCAAAAAAACATACCATGCCACAAGGAAGTGCTAATTGAGTCTGTGATCAACAGGAACAATAGGAGGACTTGTCTCCTCAAGAACACTACACTGAGCTACAGCAAGACTGTGAGAAGTTGTGTTAACGCAATGTCAACACAATGCAATGTGTCTTTGCAGTCAGTGTAAAGACAGGGAAAAGGTGTGTTCAACATTATGTGGGCTAGTCATGGTCACCAACAACTCTTCAAGGTTGTGCTCTAACTTGATGTAATTTTCTAGGGAAGATATGCCCAAAATGCTTTTAGCAGAAACAGGCCTCCATGGATTTTGTGGCCTCCTTCCAAAATTTCTCACATTCCTCTGTATTACGTTCTTTCTAGCCTTTCCCGTGTGGCTTTGAAAACTAGTGTACCTGCTGAGGAGGACATCAAGTCTCTTTAGTTAGTCTAGGTCTGGCCAGTATAGATCAATGTAGTAACTCATTATACTAAAGGAAATGCTAATCTCCAAAGCCTTCTCACATTAGGAATTATACATCATTTGTCATAAATTCCTGTTGGTGGATTATACTAACCTCATTTTCCACTAAGGACTCTACCCCATTAGGTCCCAAGAAAAGAACACATTTTCTACATCATAATCTCAAATAGTAATAACTGAAGCCTAATGTGTCAATTAATTTCCTTTAATTTATTGAGTTGCCAGCCATCCTGCCTTGCCTTACACACCCTTTGCTGCAACAACTTCATATTACTTTTCAAGCTCCCTAGAGGAGGACGATTGCCAACAGTCCTGGAATAAATGAAGTGAGAAAGTATGTTCCAGCAATAAACTGAACTGCATGATCATCGCCAGTTTGGCAAATACAGTACTCAGTGTGACAGGTTTACAAAAAGCAGCCACTAATTCCAAATCCCTAGGGGACGGCACTACCCTCCTCCTCAACATGAATCTTAGGCAGGTTGGTACAATCAGTATCCCTGATCTGATAGACCTGGAAGTGCAGGGAAGACAGATCCTTGAAGGACCTGCCGGTAGCTTGCGAAGACACCGTATCTTCCTGGAACAGTGGTATCTTCCCAAACTGAGTGCCCTAGTTCCATCGTCTGTCCAGAGTGATAAAAATTCAGTTTTAGGACTCCTTTCTTTTCACTATACACTCAAAAGCCCAGAATGTTCTGTTGGAAAATAACAATCTGGTATTTAAATTATACCCAAATCCTCGCACTGAACCCAGTTCAACATGAAAAGCTTCAGCACAAGGTATTGGTTATAGAAGACACTGCAGAATGGTGCTCAGGGAAGCAGACATAGACCCCATCTTAGCAGTTTAATTTAGCCCCCAACACCAATCATGCAGTTACATTCACCGGCAGCATCTGATTTCAAAATCCCATCCATGCGTCTGTGCAGAATCAGAGCCTTAATATCCCTGGGGTAATATCTCTTATAGGGACTGGTAATTTTTTTCTGGATTTCCTCAGGCCTTTAAAATACTGCTTTAGCTCTGAATCTTCACCTGCTGTATTAGTGATCAGAGTGTGCTCAACAGCGGGTGTGTAGAGGACTATTGCCGACAAGGGCTGCAGACCAGCCAGGGCCTGTGAATGCCTCAAATTTCTCATGAGAGAGTCAAGGTAGGCATCTTTTATTGGACCAACCTCTGTTGGTGGAAGGTACAAGCTTTCAAGCTACGCAGAGATCTTTCCTCAGGTCTGGGGAAGGAAGCAGAGACGTGGAGCCAAATACACTTTGGGACAGATTGTCAAGCAGAAGGGGTAACGCATGTTGGAGTCAGTCGCTTGAAATGAAGTGGCCAATTGGGGGTTAGTGTGTTATGCAGAAAGGGTCTGAAGTGGGCACTAAGGAGTAGCAGCAGGCACCATGTTCTCATGACACCCAGGCAATAGAGGGTGCCCAAAGCAGGAGAGCTGTGACAAACACAACCTGGCAATGGGAACGAGCCTTCTGCTGTGGAACGGAAGGGGGATCAGATGAGAGGCAGCTCAGATCCCTGGGGGTGGTAGTCCGAGGCGGCTCGGCTCCCCCGGGCAGGGCGCCGCGAAGGAGGGGGGGGGGTCCGAGGCGGCTCGGATCCCCCCCGGGCAGGGCGCCGCGAAGGGGGATGGGGTAAGGCGGCTCCGATCCCCCCCCGGGCAGGGATCCGAGGCATCGGGGCGGGCTGGCTGCCCGGGCAGGGGCTGGCGAGGGTGCCTCGGGGGCGTCACTCGGAGGCGGCTCCTTTGCTGGGTCCCGAAACCCGTCCCGGCCGCGCCCGGGGACACACTGACCTGAGGACGGCTCCGAGTCCGCGGCCTCCTTGGGGCTTTTCATGACGGCGAAGAGGCGGCCAGGCCGCTCAGTGGGCGGCCGCCGGGCCCGGACCGGGCTGCGGGGCTTGGCGGGGCCGGGCCCCCCTCATGTCTCGGAGCGGCGCTGCTCCTGCCGGCCCCGGCGCTGCTGCCTGGCAGAGGCGGGGCGGGGCGGGGCCCGGCGGCGGCAGCTGCTGATGCGGCGGGCGAGGAGCGCTGCGGCTCCGGGCCCAGCCCCGCACAGAGGGGACCAGGGGAAGGCGGAGAGAGGGGCGCTAGCCGCGCTCAGGACGGCACCGCCATGCCCGCCCCCAGGGCAAGGCCCCTTGGGGACTATTCCCGCCTCCCCCCGACAGCTGTCAGCAGCGCGCTGCCCGGGGCGGGGGTGTCGGCGAGGCAGTCCCCGCAGGGCAGGCGTTATGGGGGTATCTGCACCCCGGTCACATGCCCTGGTGAGGGGCGGGGATGGCTTGTCACTCCTGCCCCGGAGCCGTGTGTGTTCAAACTCGCAGCGGCGGAGCCATGCGGCACTGTCGTGTCGCTCCCCGCCTCGTGGGCCGGGGAAGCAGGCGGAACCCTTGTTCCGGGCTGGGGTATCCCCGCGGGACGCCCGCTCCTGAGGCCCGTCGGGCGCACGAACCATAGAGTTGAAAGGAGAGAGGCGCTCGCTCTCTGGGCAGCGAGGCCTTTCCGGATCCGGTGCGCGGTGCACGCTGGGATACCGGTGGAGGCCATTCGAGCGCTAAAGCTGAGCCCACGCTGAGCAGCGACGTGCCTCGCGGAGCGTAAGTGGCGGGTGGGAGCGCGGCCCCTCGCCGGCGGGTGGGTGAACTCAGGCCGCCCTGTGTGCGGGGAGCTGGGCTGGAGGCTCCGGGGGGTCTCGTCTCCTCAGCGCGCTCCCCTCCCCCTAGTGACCCGCGGGCCCGGGCTCCCGCCGGCGCCCCCCGCCCGCCTCCCCCCGGGACACTGACGTTGTCAGGGCCGGTATTTTGCGATCAAGTAACGCGGGGGCCGTGAGCGTTGCAGATCGTCTGGTGTTAGCTGCTCCGGACGCGGGTGTGTTTTGATACCGCTCCGTGCGTGTGTCGGGGTCTCCGTGAGCGCTGGTTCGGTTGGATGCTTTGCGTTTCCGGCCCAGGAGACGGGCAGGGTATCACTGAGCACAGCGCTTGACGGTTTTGTACGTCTGACTAACCTGTCCCTCTTCAGAGGCTCTCCTTGACTTTTAATAAAACAAAAAAGGGTTAAAGTTTTTTAAAGCTCCTTCAACGGAGCATAGAAACATCCCCCTTCACCCCCACACCACATACCCACACACGAGTTTCCCACCATCTTTCTTCCTCTTTCATCACAACAGTCCTAGTTACAATGGGGAAGGGATGGGGTGAGACGAGACCGAAACAGTGAAGTGTAGCTGCCAGGCGAGTCCTTCATCTATTAAATTAGACACGAGTGGGTTTTTTACATAATTCAAAACATATCCTCTAGCTCAGGGGTTCTTAAACTAGGGGTTGGAACCCCTCGGGGTCATGAGGTTATTACATGGGGGGTCGTGAGCTGTCAACCTCCACCCCAAGCCCTGCTTTGCCTCCAGCATTTATAATGGTGTTAAATATCTAAAAAAGTGTTTTTAATTTATACGGGGGAGGGGGTCGCACTCAGAGACTTGCTATGTGAAAGGAGTCACTAGTAAAAGTTTGAGAGCCACTGCTCTAGATGTTTAGTAAGAATTACTTAATGATTTTTTTTAACTCACATAAATAGTTTCCTTGAAGGCCGTGAATGCATAAGTAAGGATTTGCAGGATCAGGCCATAATGCACATCAGTGGCCTTGACATATCCTTTTAATAGGCTGCTTAGCCATTTCTTTCCAATTCAAAAGCAGTAATATCTCTTGTTATACCAACTTCTGTTAGTGAAGGAGACAAGGGTTCAAGCTAGGGGTCTGGAGACAGAGCTCTTCCATTAATAAAGATATTACTTCACCCACTTTTTTTCTCTAATGTCCTGGGACCAACATGGCTATAACAACTCTTTCCTGTATGGTAAGGTAATTCTTCTAGTGGAGGCCAAGTATATTCTCAACCTCAGGCATTTCTGAAAGGAAATAACTCTTGTATCAGAAACGTCACTTTAAGTCACATTGCTTCTGTGTCACTTTAACAGAAAATGTGTGTACTAAACAGTGCTCCCAAAGCTTGAGAAAATCCCCTACATGGTATAGAGGCCTCCATCACAAGCTTGTAAGACACACTAACATCTATATCTTGGGGGATATCCAGCATGTTGTATGTTTTTAATATGATGCTCGGAAATACAGCAATGTAATATGGAATGCTCTTTATGTAGTTCCATCAAGAAATGAGATTCTGTGAATACACTGTGTGAAAGTCAACATCTCTCATTGAAAGAAAAGTCGTATTTTCTTTTGCTAGTAGCAAGCAAGCGTTTTGGCACTGCTGATTCCTCTGCTTTGGTATTCTTATGCTGGTTTCATTTCGCTGGTATGGGCCATCCCAAAGTTAGTTATGTGTACTTATCTCTTCTAAAATGATTATAAAAGAGTCTCACTCTTTCTTGACTAACCCATCAGATTCCTCAGTAATTCTTCTGAAAATGTAGAAAATTTGAAAAGTTTTTCTTCCCCATCCTCCATGACTCTCTGAGTTCCCCATTTCTTTCCCTGCTACCAAGATTTTGAGACGATTTTGAGACCAACATGGTCTTTAAAATAAAACTATCTGGCATTTACATAGCAATTCAATGCGCACAGAAGCCTTAATCCTGATTACTATGATTACTTGTTCTGGGAATAGCCATGGTGACAGAAGTCCTGTTTATCAAGTTGACACTTTTTAAGGCCACTGAATTAGTAGAAAAATAAAAAAACAGGAGTAAGTAGTTCTTTATTTTCTGGACTAGAAAAGTTTGTTAAAGGCTTCTAAGAAAAAATCTGTATTATGTAGGCAGAGCTTATGGGCAAAGAAACTTACTATACTATTCCTCTTTTTGGTCCTAGGTTTAGAACTGTACTGCTGCAAAGATGTCCATCGGAGTGCCAATTAAAGTGCTGCATGAGGCAGAGGGCCACATCGTGACATGTGAGACCAATACAGGAGAAGTCTACCGTGGCAAACTCATTGAGGCCGAGGACAACATGAACTGCCAGGTATGTCTGGGAAAAGGGGGTGCGAATGGTGTATTTTTGGAAAGGTCAATCTTTGGCTGATTGTCGGCTTTACTTAAATATTAACATTTCTACTCAGAGATATAGAAAGATGAGTTATCCTGCTTCATAGCTTTGCCAAAATGACATAGTCTCACTTGTGACATTCTAGAGAAGGGGACAGCTTAAACTTTTTGGTTTATAGGCAGGAGCCTATCAGAAATTCTTATGCATTTTTCAGAGCTCTGTTCTGTGACTAGTTTGAGATAATGACATTTCTGCTAAAACCATTTGTTATTTCAACAGCTAGCTTCGACTCTTTTGACTCATTAGCTCAGGATATGTTTTCTCCAAATCAGTGTTTTGAAAAGCTTTTTCTTAAATATTTTTAAAGCACACACAAAGCCAGGTACTTGAATACGGTGTAATTCTAATTGATTTTTAAGACTAGGGCTACATGTTCAAATCACTCTCATCTCATGAGAAATTACTTTTGTTAGAATAAACTAATATAATATATGTGATGCTATAGAAGGGAAGGTATTTCCCCTTGTCAGTGAGTTCCCAAAGCTTATTTTGGGTTAATGTAGAAATACAACTCTGGGAGTGATCAAAATAGCCTACGAAATCCACAGGATTAGTAAAATTCAAATAGTTTAAACTCCATTGTCTCTCATAAGCAACTGCAATTGACAAAGGGTGCCAGAGTTAACAGGCCTTCTGAGTACTGATTAAATAGTCCTTGGTATTATTGTTCTTTGTGTACCACGCTCCATAGCTTATTCTCTTCATTCTCTCTTTCGCCCCCCCCCCCCACTCAATCATGTTACACACGCACGCCACTCTAATTTAAATCTGCTCTGTACTTATATGCTGATCTGATCTTGAATGTTGAATCTGATTTTTGCTGGCTAGATTACTCTAACAAACACTATGCACACAATTAAAAGGCAAAACTTATGTAAGGCTATGATGTCTTATTCTCTTAACTGGGATTCCATTTACATTAGTCAACTTGCTGCAGCTTCTGAAAAATACCAGTCCATGTTAGCACAAAACAGATGAAAACTTCTCTCAGAAATCAGTTTCAAAACAGTCCTGGAAAGCTATTCTGTTTAACACATATGTTCATGCTATTATTTGGCCAGACAGCTTTCTGTATTAGAAAGAAGACTTCCTTGAATCAGAATTCAGTAGCCAAAACAAACTGGAACACTTCACTATTTAAGAGGCCCTTATAGGCATTGATCAGTTTCGTGTCTTCCAGATGTCCAACATCACAGTGACATACAGAGATGGGCGAGTGGCACAGCTGGAGCAGGTGTACATTAGGGGTAGCAAGATACGGTTCCTCATTTTACCAGATATGTTGAAAAATGCTCCTATGTTAAAGAGCATGAAGAATAAAAACCAGGGTTCTGGGGCCGGACGAGGCAAAGCAGCTATTCTCAAAGCCCAAGGTGGGTACCTCTGTGTTTGGTCATTACATTTCCTGTCAATTTGTTAGGAAACTGAAGCGGGTGTCATCATCAGGAGTTCTGCAGTACAAAGAGTTTGGTTTATTACATCACTTAAATATGAACATCACAAGGAGTAAGAGGAGTTTATTTGGCAGGCAGAGGGGAGAGTTAAATAATTGTGAAGTTTGCATTTTGTTTTCCTTTTTTTTTTCTTACCTTGATTTTATTGTAAAACTTCAAATGTCTAGTGCTTTAGAAAATTTAAAAATAGTAATATTCGTTCAGAAATAACTAGACACTTAGCCTGGTAAAATCTCTACTCAACCCTCCCACATAAATATCCAGATCTTAGTGCTCCCCATGTATATGTGTGCAGATTCTGAAGCAGCTATTTGAATCACTTGGATCTTATATGCAGTGATCTTTTTCTGGGCATTGGGTTAGTCAAATCTACTTCAGTTATCACTGAAGCATTAATTTAAATATAAAAACGGCACTTAAATACACAAGGATTTGAACTTAAAAGCCAGAAAAGTCAGACTTCCTTTATCTTTGCTAGGCCTAAATTATGTGGCTTGATGCATAATGATTAAGAGCAAATATTTTGGGTCTGTTTATGCTTATATAGATTACTTTGAAAAGGTTTTTGCTCATAGGAATTAAGATGTTTGTAGAGCACTTTGAAATCTGTTCCAGCATGGTATGTAATAATGGTGATGGTAAAATGTTATTAAAAAATGTCTCTGGCATGGCACTGACTTTTTAATACAGATCTCCTGGGCTGCAGGTTTGTGCCGCTAAATGGAATGAATACAAAATTTTCATTTTGTTTTACTGTCAATTCAATATTAGTTTAATCTGTTTCATGACTAGACGCATGTAAACATTAGCTTCTGCTCCCCATCACAGAGCACTCTGGGAATTAGAGAAGTACATCACCTTCTGAACCGTACAGGGTAACCTAGTTTCCACGCTGCTAACTCAGCACAAGAGGCTAGATACTATAGTGATTGGCACCACAAAAATACCTTTGATACAACATATGTAGATTCTTATAAACATGCAGTTATGTCAGATCCACATGATCTATTTTTTTTCTTCAGTGGCTGCAAGAGGAAGAGGTCGTGGAATGGGCCGTGGCAACATTTTCCAGAAGCGAAGATAATTTTGGACTTAACTTACTTTACCTTTTTTTTTTTTAAGGTATTTAATTTACTACTGGTGCAGCAGTTAGGGTTCTGTTTAAATAAAATCTGTTTCTGACAAAATAGAGAGTTGTGTGCTGTTGTATGTTGACAGGTCTTACTTGGGACATATCTGATGAGGTGATGGCTTTTTGTAGTGGGAAGAGTATTGCATATTGATAATAGAGCAGATTATTTCTAAATCCAGCTTGAAATAGAGACACTGGTACCTGGATTTGTGTTCTTTGTATTTTTTGTTACATCTTGAATTTCAAGAATGTCTGTGTCCCTCACTTTTCTCATTAAATCCTGTTGCCATCCACTCTGCAAAAAAGAGTTAAGCCACTATCTAAATCGGGACTGGGCAAGCGTTTTGGCCCGAGGGCCACATCTGGGTGGGGAAATTGTATGCAGGGCCATGAATGTAGGGCTGGGGCAGGGGGTTGGGGTGCGAGGAGGGATGTGGGAGGGGGGCTCAGGGCAGGGGGTTGGGGTGCAGGAGGGATGTGGGAGGGGGGCTCAGGGCAGGGGGTTGGGGTGCAGGAGGGATGTGGGAGGGGGGCTCAGGGCAGGGGGTTGGGGTGTGGGAGGGGGCTCAGGACGGGGTTGGGGGGCAGAAGGCAAGGGGTTAGGGGGCTCAGGGCAGGGGGTTGGGGTGCGGGGTGCGGGGTGCAGGAGGAGTTTGGGCTCCGGCCTGGCGCCACTTACCTCAAGTGGCTCCAGGGTAGCAGTGGCGTGCAGCGGGGCTAAGGCAGGCTCCCTGCCTGCCCAGGCCCCGCGCCGCTCCCAGAAGTGGCCAGCATGTACGGCAGTGGCTCCTAAGAGGGGGGTGGGGTGGGGTGGGGCAGGCGGCTCTGCGGCGTGCTACCCTTGCCTGTGGGTACCACCTCCTAAGCTCCCATTGGCCATGGTTCCCTGTTCCCGGCCAATGGGAGCTGTGGGGAGCAGTGCCTGCAGGCGAGGGCAGCGCACAGAGCCCTCTGCCCCACCTCACCCCCAAGTGCCGCAGGGACGTGATGCCGGCTGCTTCCGGGAGCGGCGGGGGGCCAAGGCAGGCAGGGAGCCTGCCTTATCCCCGCTGCGCCACAGGGCTGGCAATCCCATGGGCCGTAGTTTGCCCTCCCCTGATCTAAATGCATGTTTTTAGGTAAGAGAGGATTCATTCTCAACTGGCAGAGTGTTTGTGTCCCATGTGGAGTCTTTCAGGGGGTTGCTGTGGCCTTAAGTCTCTCTGTGACCCAATACAGGATCTTGGTGAGGATGACTGATTCGTTGCTGACAGTTCTGTAAGCGCCATCTCTTGACTTTTGCTCTAAATCACCAAGTGAGCTGTTGAAGAAGCTGCTGCCTCATTTTGCAGTGCTGTTAGCAGTAGGGAGGGAGTGAAGGAAAGGCATGCAATAGATCATGGGGAGGACAAGAGAATTTGGGGACTGGCTACCTTATTGGGTCATAATAATATGATTGAATAAACAGCTGGATGGCTGAGGATTTGCTGCCAAAAATATTACACTACGTTCAGAGAAAGGGCCAAACTAAAAATAGATCCTTGCATCTTACATTTTGCAATGAGAATGCATCTGGAATCTGAGTTGTGATTTTCTCTGTTGAAAGATGCAGATAGCATAAGCATAGTTTCTGACTTTGCAAATATGAAAGGTTTGTCAGTTGGCATTGTTTTCTAGTTCCCTCCAATCAATATTTCAGTAAAGTGAATTGGTGTGTCTGGAGAGTTTAAAATGAGACTGTCATTGCTTAGTGTTACAGCTGCTACCATCTGACCTGTAGTCATAAGAGGTTAAAAGAATCATTTTGATTTGCTGTCAACATAATTTTTAGTGGTTTACCAGGTTGAACTCGCATTCAGTTCTAAACCCATAAGTATAGGTGAAGAATCTCCTTAATCTGCAGTCATATTTTGCATCTTGCTGACTTATTTCCAGTGATCTTGTGATAACATTGGCAATTTTTTGTGTACCCTTCCCATTAGCAGGGGACTATGACTTTAGTTTACAGTTGCTTTTTTGTAACTGGAAGCATGTCATTCCGGCTGCCTGTGGGAAGCGTGCGAGAAAAACAGCATCTTTTAGGGACAGGCTTGCCAGCAGGGGGAGACTGGGGCACAGAGAAGTAGGAACAGGAGGTTATCATCTGCAATCCTGGAAAGGGCAGAACCCAAGCACAAGCTCCGGCCCCAGGGACTCAAAGCACTCTCCAGAAAGACCTCCAAGCCCCACTGAATCTCACTGAGAATGTCTATCCCCAGAGAGACCCTACCCCTCAATCCCACTGAACCTCATTGGACCCCCTACCCCAGCTGTGCCTCCAGGCTGCGGTAGACAGACTTCCACTAGCTTGTCTTGAGCTAGCACACTAAAAATAGGGGATGTCATGGTGCTGGCCAAGACTCCGACTAGCCACCCTAGCTCAGACCCAGGGGTCAGGTGCACTTGAGAACCTGAGATGAAGCCCAAGCTCCAATATCCACACCACTGTTTTTAGCATGCTAGCTCGAGCTGGTCTACCCAGGGTCAGAGGTTCACGTCCATGGGCAGTGTAGACCTACCCAGAAAGAGCCCCAACCCCACTGACTCGTTGCACCCCAGTGATGACAAGGCCAATAAACAATTCATTTGCAAACTTAACACCATTAATTTGGGCTTGAATATGGACTAGGAATGGCTGGCTCACTACAAAAGCAATTTTCCCTCTCTTGGTATTGACACCTCCTCATCAATTATTGGGAGTGGACCACATCCACCCTGACTGAATTGGCCTTGTCATCACTGGTTCTCCACTTGTAAGGTAACTCCCTTCTCTTCATGTGCCAATATATTTATGCCTGTATCTGTAATTTTCACTCCATGCATCTGAAGAAGTGAGATTTTTACCCACGAAAGCTTATGCCCAAATAAATCTGTTAATCTTTAAGGTGCCACTGGACTCCTTGTTGTTTTTGTGGATACAGACGAAGATGGCTACCCCTCGGATAATAAAATATAATTTACTCTCTGAAAGCAGTATTTTTTTAAAAGGGCATTTAAAGGAATTTGCCAACTTTCTCAATCACTTTCACGTCACAGACTGGGGTGGTGTAAATATAGACTCCACAGTCAAAGCAAAGAATCTTAATTTGCATACAACCCTAATGCCCTCAACATTTCGCCACCCATTGGTTGGAACACACTCCCTTTTGATTTGTGAAAGTTCTGCTTAAAGCTCTGTAGGGTGAAACTGTACCAGTGTGTTCACTGGAGGTGGCCTTTCTGATCAGAGGTGGATCATGCAGCTATTTTGCCTTTTTTAAAAAGCTGTTTAGTAATCAGCCTCAGCGATAATGGTTTTACTGGGGAGGAGAGGCCATCTGCTGTCTTCCTGGCTTCCCTTAGCAACAAAGACCTGAGTTTCACAGAGAATCCTCACAGGAAGATTGTAAATTTAAAATAATGCAATTTATTCAGGTTCATGTTTTTTATGGGAGGGCAGCCATGCTGCATATTTAACTGCAGGTTAACTTGGGGGTTTTAATAAAGGGAAGGATCCTATGCCTTGGATAGTAAAGTTTATTCATAGGTAAAAGCTAGGTGGTGGTTGAGCCAGCCACACCTTACTAATACACGCCTTGGATGGATTCAGCCAGGCTGGCATTGCATGTGGCTGTTGGATGGCTACATCTGAGAATGAAGCTGATTTGTAAGTATGTAGCGCCAGGTGCTGTACAAACAGAATGAAAAGATGGCGCCTGCCCCAATGGGCTTATGATCTACGTGGGACAGACATTATCACAGAGCAGGCTCATTTTGTCCTTTCGTTTTAGTCTCTTAGCTGACTCTGGCTCTTGGTTTGTGAACCCTTCAGACCTGTGTCTGGGAGGCTGGACCAGTCAGAGCCCTTGCACCGTGGAGCTGGAAAATCGTGGTGTGACATATGCTATTGTCAATGGATGAAACAAGGCATCAGGAACCTCGGTAGCCTGTCCCACCTAACCTGCGTGACAGGTACTCCTCTTGACTTCTGGAACTGCCTTCCTCTTTCGAAGGTAAACAGCTGCTGAAAGCCTTAGCTTAGAGCTGAGTCAGCAGGTTGCCTTATAACTAATTTCATACAGGCTGCAGTGCCGAGCTAATGCCTGAATTGAGAGTCAGTAGGAATTCGTCTTCTATTTTAACTGAAAGAATGGCAGCTTCCCTGATGCAGCTAAGGAAGGGTGTGCCGTCAAGGAGGTGACAACTGGCTGTATCTCAGCGGGGTGTCCGTTGCTTCACTTGGTCCCAGATGAGACAAGATGGCTAGTATCAAGTGGGTTCAAGGTAAATGTTCCTCTTCACATATAAAACTCTTTTAAGTAATCTTGGTCCAGCCTCTTTTTAGATTCCCTCTGATCTCCAGGAGAAGCGAACACTACTATCAACTTACTAGCAGTCAGGCTAACCAAGACATAATTTTACAATGAATCTCAAAGGCTTGTACATTTTCTCTGCCAATCAAAATTTTGCTCCCCTTCCTTTTCGTGAATTTAGCACTTCTAAATGGTGCCAGAGTGACAGCCTCAGAAAAGGGAAGTCAGTTGGAGGGAGGGCACTGATCAACTGGTTTTTTGAAAGCAGGTTCAGCATGATGTGTGCTGAGCGCTTCTGCAAATCTGGCCCTTGGAATGAAAGATGGAGCTAGAGGTGAAAGGGCCTCTCACTTCGCATTTTGTTCTGAAATAGTTCATCTGAGGTTGAAGCCTCTTACGGAAAGGAGAGGGAAAATCAAGGATAGCTTTGTGACAACAGATAAGTTTACACTGGGGCTCTCAGCCTTTATGACTCGCAGCAGCTCCTTTAGGCAGAAATATTTGGGACTCTGGTAGATATCCCCAACGGTCTGGCCTGCCATGCTGAAAATGCTACTTATCGGGATTGCCTTTTAACAAGTTTCTGGGTTTTAAGTTGTCTGAAGAAAGTTTTGTGCTGAGATTCTAGGAAGAGCTCAAGTTGGAGGCAGATCATGGGTGGCGAAGTTGATCATTTGCAGGAGGTTGTTGGGGAACGGCAACAACATAAAAGGCCAAAAGGAAAATCCTATAAAGGTATTAAAGA